TATGGTGAAGTTCCCTTCAAGGGTGAAGTTCCCTTCAATATTTCACGACTTCATGAAATATTTGCTTTTGTGGCATATGCTTACTTATTTAAATTTTTTACTAAGTCATAAGTGGCAGTGAACTCTGCAAAACCATTATCCATCTGTATTTTAGAAATTAATCAGTTAATAATTTACAGTTTAAAAAGAATTGCATATAAGTAATTATCTGAATTTCTCTTTTCAAGTCTGATTTTAATTCCTTTGGTTTCATCTGCTTCTAGCCTTCAGAAACAGTCAAATAAACAATGACCGTAACAGGAAAAGAACTTACATATGCAAGTCGTCCCATTTTCATCCAAAAGTTGATTATCAGCACAAGCACACACCCGGCCTCCTGGAATGGCCAAGCAAAGTGTACTACAGCCTCCATTATTTACTCGGCACATATTGTCACCTGCAAGAGGAGGGAAACAAATGTGTCAAAGACCTCTGATTCCAACGAAACTTAGCCAACTTAGGTTCACATTCTTTCTAGGAGATGTACATACGCAAAACTATGTATGCATACATATGCTATGTATATTACATATTTAGTAAAATAATATTCCTGCTGAATCATAACTAAATTTAGAAAAGTTTGAAAATATATGATGCATTGGTAGGTAGATAAGAAGAATTTACATGTTTGTCGGAGCAGATGGAGGTTTGTTGGCAGTTAGGTACTAGGTGAAAGAGGAGGAATAGAACAGAAAGGTGTCTGTCTTGGATAGTTTTCCAGATTAGGCCTACTGTTTTCAAGTCCGAGTTTTTGGAAAGTAGATCACTGGCTCTCGGAACATGGTTTTGTGTGCCCGTCAACAGAAAGTGAACGGGCACTGGGGACAGAGGTGGGATATTCTTCATTCTTGTGCAAAGAGTACACTGGCATGTCAGTGTGTTGGGGGCTTCAGGAAACACAGGATTATCCGCGAAGGCTTAATAACGAGCAGCCCTGTTAGCATAAGGAGAATGTACAGTTCACAAAGACAAAAGTGTTGTTCCAGTAGACCTAAAGAGCGGGGGCACTGATGAAGCATACAATGGACATCAATTAAGTGGGCATGAGAGGAAATTCATAAAGGTATTATTCATGAACATATGTGAGGCATACTTGGAGACTCTCAGATAAAACTGAGCAAATTCTTGAAGAGGCTAGAGATCATATTTTATAAAGGTGTAAGAGTAAATACAATTTAGGTGGTTACCATTTTTGTGCCATTTATTCCTATAAATCGGAAAGGTAAGGAAGGAAGTGTATTTACAGTCATGTGTTCTTTAATGACAGGGGTGTATTCTAAGAAATATGTCATTACATCATTGTACGAACATCACAGGGTGTTCTTACAAAAACCTACATGGGATAGCCTACTACCCACCTAAGTTATACGGAATAGTCTATTGTTCTGAGGATACACACCTGTATAGCATGCTACTGTACTGAACGCTGTAGGTAATTATAAGACAATGGTAAGTATTTGTACATCTAAACATATTTAAACATAGAAAAGGCATAGCAAAAATATGGAATTATCATCTTATGGGACCACTGTTATATATATGGCCCATAATTGACTGAAAGGTCATTATGCCATGTATAACTATACTTAGCTATAGCTATAGCTATACAGCTTAGCTATAGCTATAACTATACTTAACTATATGTATAAAATCAAAAAGAACTTGACAACATTAGCAATCCAGTTGGCAGTGTAATTTTCAGGGTCATTTTACACAACGTTGCATTTTTCAAGGTATCAATAAATAAAATTTTGATTATATCAGAAGATCTTACTTAAACATTATAAATAAAGAGCTTTTA